GGAAGGCCGGTAAGATGAATAGCCTCACGATAAATGTCAAACTCATAGGCTTGCAGTTTTGAGTGAGCTAAGGTATCTCGTCCTCTAGGGATATCAAGAAGACGACGCAACATATAAACTAGGATGGTGGTCATATGTCCATACACAAGGATAGTGTAAGCACGAGTACGAAGGCCAAAAGGTTTTGCATAGCTCTATCTGTTGATCATGGTTTCTCAGGTGCTGATAGGCACTCGTCTAATCCATGATCTGGTACAGAGGAGCAATGCTAAACTTGTGCTCCACAACAAACCCATTTGGATCCATTCCAGCAGATGGAGGAACTGGGTTAGGAATGTGCCATTCCTCCTTTTTAGCAATCTTGACCATGTGAATACACATCAAAGAGGCCATATTTAGTGGCTTATTTTCATGAGCACATGTCACAATGAATAGATCAAGGGATGAAGATAGGTGTGATTCCTAGTTCGAGGAAGTAAGAAGTGAGTTGTCAACCATTTGAGAACTCTAAGAGGGTAAGGAAAGTCTACATCTTTAAGGGATTCCTTTGTAATCTTCATCGGTTATACAATAAAGTGAAGCGTGATTGTATCTCCTTTAGAAAAGTGTCAAGTTGAGCTATGAAAGAGACTAACCATGAGCTTCCCCTTAAATTTAGATGGTAAGAGAGCAATGGCCAGCGTCAAATTGATTGAGGGTTGACGAGGTCTGAGAAAAGCACCACCAAATCCTGATAGTATCTCGATCAAAACAATTTTTTTGTCATACCTGATATTGATATAAGTAGTTTACCTAAAGGAGAGTCACACAACAAGTTAGCTCTTGGAGTTGCGATGCAAAAATAGGTAATGCAGAAACAGTTTATACAAAAGACCATACTATGACCATATAGAATGCTTTGGTAGAGGTAGATGTCAATCTCATTTGATTGACCAAGCCAACAAGGAGAATAGAGGAATCACCATTGGTACTCTAAATTTTACAAGACTATTATACTGATCTTTTCTTTCCATTCATGTAAATTTGTATTATGACTGAAGTGATATTACATCAAGCCATAAATTGCAATAATGAATGGTCGTTTGGATTATCGTGATGTGATATAAAATGCCATGTAGCTGCCACGAAGGAGGAGTAAGAGAGAACCAATTAGTGTGTTTGTTGTTGAGAAAAATAAAAATTGTGATAATGGAGAGGTTACATGATGATTGACTTCTACAGATTGAAGTGATAGAAAGTAATAGGGGTGTAAGTCATTTGTGTGTTTAGTGTAGTAGAGTGACTAGGAGTGATTTTGTAGGATTTCATAGAGGGTAGAAGTATTTAGAAAGTTCGTTATCTGCTGATATTTCAAGGCATATTTTGCTTGCCTTTTTTTTGTTTATATTTGAGATTTCTAAAGCAGATTGCATGCTTTGGATTTCTCTTCTTTTTCGGCTAAATTACACGTTTGGTCACTCAAATTATACAAATCTTTCACGTTTGCCACTCGAATTACTTTTCTTTCTTATTCGCCACTAATTTTGCGAATCGTTTCATCGTTAGTCACCAGCCGTTACACTCCGTTAAATTTGTCCTACGTGGCAGTCAACTATTAAGTTTGACCGTTAACTTGATGACGTGGAAATAAAAATAATAAATAAATAAATAAATTACAGATTCAAAATGCGCCCACATACTTTATCTAAGGACTTTCATATTAATTATTTAATTAAATTACAAAAATTAAATTTCACCCGCACAGCTCTCTCTCTTGGACGGACTGAAACAGATCTCCGACATTGACTGAATCGCTGAGAAAGAAGAGCCACGCCGGAGATCGCATTGTCCTCTCCGCTCCAACAACTTCCATCGCCGCCATCATTGGCGTCACGTACACCTCTCCTCTCACCTCGCCGCCATCCTCCTCACCCGACGGCAACTCCTCGCTGCCGACTCCTCCCCCGCCGCATCTCGAGGCCATCGCCTCCGCCGTCTGCGATCTCCGGTTCCGCGTCGTCCGTCTCCCTCAACCGGATCCCAATCTCATCAGAGCCTTCTCCCTCACCAACACCTCCCTTCCAGCGTCAGGTTAGCTGAGTTATTAGGGGTTTTCCCCCCTTTCGGATCTAACTCCAAATCTCGGGGTAAAGTAAGTGAGAACAACGGGTGCTTCCCTCCCCGCCTTGTGCGTGTTAGCCGGCCGATTGTGGTCGATTGTGGCGCGTTCCACCTTCAAGTGCGTCTTTTGTTCAGATTATTGTGGCAATTTGATTTGTTTTCTACTTGCATGCTCTGTTTATTGTGTTCATATTTGCAGTCTCTGCTGTTTTTGTGTTTTCGGTGGTTTAGGAATTCTTGCAATGTTAAACACTATAGTATTATTATGAGATGACCCTTGTCGCCGCCGTCAAGTACCAGCTCCCCAACGAGGGAGGATCTCGACGCGCTAATCTCCGAGTCTACAAACGAGGAGGTCGAGATGGAGGAGTACAACCGTGGCACGCTGAATTGGAACCCTCAATAATCGGATCTCCTCCGGCTCTTCCTCTTTCCTTAGGGGGAATTGGATAGTTCGAGAACCAACAGCATCAGCTCGCTTCTCAATGGGTAGACGAATCGACGAGCTCAATTCTTGTCGGTCACTAGAGCGGGAAAGGTCTGAGACGTATTCCATCGTCTCCGAGATGTCCGATTGCTTCTTTGGATTGGAGAATCCTGACGAGAATCAGCTGCGAGAAGAGCAACGTAATCTGGGGAATAATAATTGGTGATTTGTTTTGCAGGGATGGTGGTGGAGGGTCGACGGAAGGGTTGGAAGCGGGGACGAGTGGAATTCCAATTTTTGGGGATTGAAGGTGTAAAGAGGGGAACTGAAGAAGGTTGGGATGGTAAGTGGATTTTGTTATTAAATTATTTTTATTAAATAATTATTATGAAAAGTCTTTAGATAAAGTATGTGTAATAATGAGGTGGAAAATAAATTTTTTTTTTTTTATTTCCACGTCATTAAGTTAACGGTCAAACTTAATAGTTGACTGCCACGTAGGACAAATTTAACGGAGTGTAACAGCCGGTGACTAACGATGAAACGATTCGCAAAGTTAGTGGCGAATAAGAAAGAAAAGTAATTCGAGTGGCAAACGTGAAAGATTTGTATAATTTGAGTGACCAAACATGTAATTTAGCCCTTCTTTTTCTATTATTTTAATTAGCAAAACTATTTATCAGAAAAAATTGGTTGACACATTCCATCGACTTGATTTGGACATTGCTAGTTTTGGTTTTGTCGGCCACAGATTCATCGCCTTCGGTGTCACTGTGGTTTTGGTTTGGGTTTTCTCTTTATGAAATTGCTTGGTGACTTCCATTTTCACAGTTGGAAATTGGAGTCAGGTAAGCATTCCTTTGGTTTATTTCATTTTCACTTTAGGGGCATCATAGTGCTTGACAATAGTGGCTTGATTTAGAGCTAATGGCTTGATTTGTATTGTCCATTTTAGTATTTATGTTTTATTGTTTTTTGTAATTTAATTGGATAATGAGTTTTCATCAGATTATGATCTTGTTGCGCTACCTCCGACCATCACGTAGATATTGCTAATGTATAATATCAGTCAGAGTACCAATCTCGACCTTATGGTAATATCAGTAGCCAAAAATCTAGAGGTCACAGGATCAAATCTTTTCAGTAGTAGTATAATCACAAAAAGAGTGAAATCTATATCATCCTTTTAGTTGTTTATTTTCTCTCACTAGCTTATAACCCGGCTCGTTGGTCGGAATATTCATATTTGATTATTTATATTTTTATGTTACGTTTAAGTCTATCTACCTGTTTAATTTTATTGACAATCCTTCGATCGAGATGATACATATAGAAAGAATATATAGATCGAACATTTGAAGAAATATAAAATGTATCATTGATCTCATTTTCATAATGATAATTAAGTCCTCGGTAAAATGCTATTGGTTAGTTGATTATCAAGAAAGATAGAGTATAAAGCTCACTGAAATTCCCTCACGAACCATAGATAGTTTGAAACTAAAACTTAAACCTCGCAATCCTACATAAAGGTTCAATGCTTTCATTTTAGGAGCAATATTCCACTAATCAAAAAGAAATAGAGAGTTGTTGATTCAAGTCAACTATATGCTAACAACTCAACTAAGAGGGGACCATCACAACTTGAGAGCAAACGCCAAACTAGGGTTACCTCCAATATACTAATAGACTTGATCAAAGTAATAAGGAACAAAATTAGGCACTCCTTCTCTATCAGTTCTAGTAGGTTGAATACAGAATTGACCGACCTACTTCGGTAAATCAATAAATGATTCTTCGTTTAAGATATAATTAGGTCGCCATAGCTTCAAAAACCATAAACCTAAAGATCCAATAGCCACCACTCTCCGTTGTACAATAAAATTTATATCCACTATATCTTCAATCTCAAGGCGTATGTTTCAACCAAAAATTCAATTTTTAATCCTCTTTCGACACCTCCATTTATTGAACTCCATTCTATTCGTCATTGATTGATATCGGAGTTGAAATATTTTACTTGCCCAGTTTAAAACCCCGGGAATAAAATCATAGTGCCATGAGACCAGAAGATTGATTTTCAAAGAAGGCCTTGTACTGTGAAGTGAAGGGGAGCAAATTATTGCACCGTGGAGGTAATTTTAGAGGTCGTTAGAAAGAGATAAGAACAAAGATAAAAAAAATACAAATTGAAAATGCAAGGACACAACACGTAGTAATAGAATTAGTTTCTTCCATGCTGGCCAATTACCAATTTACCTTTAGTGAAAATTATGGAGATAGCAGTGATTTTAGAATTGAGAAACTACATTAAACTCTGCTATGAAAATTGAAGTATCAATCACCATAAAAATACATATGGTAGACTTATTGGGCTTCTAATCATGATGAAAAAGTCCTCTGATTTTCATAGTGTCACTTCGTGTATGTTTTGTGTTAAAAAGATATAAAAAAATTTGTTTAGTGTAATTGGTTGTGATTGTTGTCTTTATTGGAAAAGACTCGGGTGATATTGACATTTTTATATGGAATAAATAATTAATTGTAAAGACAAAACTGCCCTTCCTACTTTCACTTAGGGCTGTCATTTCGGTTGCCGATTAGCGGCTAACCGGTCGGGCTAACCGTTAACCGCCGGTTAGCGGCTAACCGAAAACCGAGGAATACGTGCATCGGTCGGTGGTCGGTATAGATGAGTGGTTCATCGGCTAGCCGATAAACCGAAGCCGGTTAACCGGCTAACCGACGCAACCGACCGACAAGAGACGACGTCGTTTTGCCAGCATCAGATCTAAAAGAATAAAACCCTACCTTCGTCTTCTTCGACTCACAGCAGCAGCCGCCTCCTCCACCCTCCCAACGTGACGATCCAATCCCCGCCGTCTCCCCGCGTTCCACCGCCGACCGCCACCTTCTCCTGATGCCGCCGAGAAATTGCAGTCGCAGGGCCGCCGAAACCTTCGAACTTCTTTCCTCGTGCGACAGACCCCCTGCCTGCCAATATCTCCCCGTCGGCGCTAAGTCTCCGAGACCCACTCCTCCGCCTTCTCCCTCCCCCTCGTCGCATGGCAGAGGCTCGTCCATAAGACGCCTGCAACGACCGGTCGATTGCAGAGCAGCAGAGAGAAACTAAAAGTAGGTTTTCGTCCACCGATTCGAGCTCGCCGCGGAGGAACGGCCGTGCGGAGCGTAGAATTGACTGCAGCTGGTCGTCGGCGGCGCCGGGTGGAGGAGGGGCGACGACGTTGGTGGTGGAATCGTTTGTGCGATTGTCAGGAGGCGGTGCCATCTTTTGAGAGAGCAGAAAGTATTACCGAAGGGGAGAAAGAATGGCGATCGGAGGGGAGAGCGGGAGGCTTTTTTGCACGATGTGGTCGAAGACAGAAGGAGAGAGAAGAGAAGATAAGGATTGACCGGTGGAGATTTTTTTGTAATTAATTTTTTTTTAGAAAAGGAAGGTTTTTAGGTTGGCCGGCTAGCCGATCCTAAATCCGAAACTGACCGATCGGTTGGCCGACTAACCGTGACCTCCCTCACGGTCGGTGATCGAAAACTATAGGGGGTGGCTCGGTTTAACCGATAACCGAGTTTTCAGTTTTCGGTTAAAGCGAAATCGACCGACTGCCACCCCTACTTTCACTTTCGTTGCATGAAATTTGAAATAGAAAAAAGTAAATAAAACTCTACTATATATTATTGGAGGATAGTTCCACTCGTAATATCGAGGAAAAAAAGGTGGCAACTTATGGAAACTTGAAAGGAGGGAAGTCAACTGCCAAACCTCGCCAAATCACCGGTTGCGTGTAACCGGTCACCCCTCCTTCATCCACTTTTCTATATCCCCCTCTATATATACACTACAAACCATTCAAAACCCCGCCTCCCATTTCTCCTTCTCAAATCAATTCCATACAAACGCATAACTTTAGCTATCGATCTCTTTCCATCAACATCAAACATATATATGGCGGTGTCACCCATTCCCGACAAACGCCGCGCCTCCGGCACCGGCTCGTCCAAGCGGCCGCTCACGCTTGCCATCCTCATGTCCGTATCTTCCCTCATGGCTCTCTGCGCCAAACAAGCCGGCAAATTCACAACCAAGCTCACCAGAACCGCCACCACCAAGATTCCCAGCCGCCGCCGCCGGCCTCCGCACGGCCTCTACTCCTCCTCCTCCGACGTCAACGACGGGGTCCACCCGCCGAGATCGCCGCTGGTGCGTCACTCCAAGCAGCTGCTGACGCAAATCAGCAATAGGGCCATCACGCTGGTCCACGGAAACAAGAACAATAAGGATCGGAGAGGCGACATCATCGCGCCGGACGAGTTCGGGGATGGCGGGGTGTGGCAGCGGTCGATCTTGATGGGGGACAAGTGCCAGCCGTTGGATTTCTCCGGCGTGATTTACTACGACAGCTGCGGGAAGCAAGTCAACGAGGTTGCCATCCGCTCGCCGCGGGCCAGCCCGCTGCCCGGCTACCTGACCCGCGGGCAGTAAGAAAATTTCCGGTCAAGGACAAGGAGGTGACGTATAATATAGATTATAGATTAGTGGGTGTTTAATTAGCTTCGGAGGAAATAGAAGTTTGTTCTTTTCCCTTTAATTAATAGAGGGATATAGAGGTTTGTTTCTGGACCAGGTCAAGTTGTTTAGAACGATTTCGCTCCGTTAATCTTTTGGTTCTACTTTTTTTTTTTTTTTCCCCTCGTGAAAGCGTTCTGTAAATCTTTACGGAGACGTTTTACTTGATATATATTGTGGAAAGCAACTCAATTATTGGCGAACTCCAAGTCTGTAACTGTTTTTACTTTTGGTCAACGTCTCAACGAGAGCGTATTTTTGCAATTTTGAAATTAATCCCATTAATCTTTTTGTCCGTTATATAAAGTAATCTATTCAGCAATTGTATGCGAAAATTAAAATAGCCTAAAATTTCGAGAAATGGTAAGAGTTTTGCGAAAGTTATATTTTCTATTATAAAAATCAGGTCCATCCATTAATTTCAATTGCAAGTGAATCGAATTGGTATAAATATAATGAAATTAGCCTCAATGGGTTTCCAAAAATTATTATGATGATAATAGGGGCACATATATGCAATTGATTTTGTAATTTTATTTATATGGAATTGGATACTCTTATAACTATCCTAGTTTTTTTCAGTTTATTCACTCCTAGGAAGAAAAAGTCGGCAATTCTTCTTTCTGCTGAAGTAAAATATTCAACGGTCAATGCTAAATAATGGTAGATAATATTATCATTGCAATTCTAATTAATTACTAGTGGAGAATGTATTGATTAAAAAAGTCAGGACTATTTTGAATTTTTCAAACCTTATCATAAATAAAATTATTACATGATATTAAAATTCAAGAAGCGGCATTCATAACAATTGGGCTTTGATTAGTTTTGATTCACCTAAGCGTCGCTCAGATATTGGGAAAAAAAAATAATGGTTTTCAATAGAAATGAAAAATTCACGGCAGTTTCGCACTTAGATTCATATGATTAATAATTTAGAGAACCGATGACAACAAGAAAAATATCTCACATTTTCTATATATTCAAAATTTTCACCATTATAAAAAAAAAACTATATTCGAAATTGGATATATAGCAAGTTTGGTTGCTGAGTTTACTATTTTGTCTCATGTTTGCCTCTAATAGAAAGTCAGACAATTACCTCATATTTTATGGTATCAGAGGTTAATTGTTTCACAACATCTTGATTCTTATTTTATTTTTCGACTCCCTTTTTTATAATGTGATGAAAATTATATTAAAACGGCAAAGGACAAAGAAGTCCAAAGCTAGTGCAAACAAAAAAGAGAAACTGGTTCAAAAGCACTGAACAACAACAACAGAAAACCCAAAAGGAAAACAAGAACAAAGCAAAGGGGCGAGAGCCCATCAATCCATAATTTAACCGTCGTTGCACAGAAAATGCGTTGGTTCCTTTCTAACCACACCTGCCAGCATATAGAATGGAAGGCAAAGTGAATGATCCAACCATTTATGTCACTTGGATCATCATTCTTCCACCTGCAAAATGTGGACCAAATATCTCCAGATGGTGGATTAAGACTGCTGCAAATTCTCCGCAACCTGCTCCAAATTTCACAAGTGAATTCACAATCAACAAATAAATGGTCCACAGTTTCTTCCTCGCTTTTACATAGTTCACATCGGTTTGCGATCAGCCACCCTTTCTTCTTGAGGTTGTCGAGAGTAAGTATCTTCTTGTGGTATAGAAGCCAAATGAAAGTGCAGATTTTGATGGGTGTTGATTGGCGCCAAATAGAAGTAGCAGGGAAGTTCGGTACTCCTCAAAACGCTCTTTGACGAGGTACCTGTACATTGATCGGACAGAAAACAAGGAATCTGATTGTGGTGACCAGACAAGCCTAGGAGGGCCACTGGTCACCCTTGAGATACCAACAGAATTAAGTAAATTTAAGAGAGAAACCCGCTCCCTTTCAGCCCCCCCCCCCCCCCCCCCCCCCTTTTCAGATTATATTTCAGAGGAAAAGTCCAACTCACATTCTCACCAGATTGTTAAAAATAGTCAGAGATCCATGCTTCTCGATTCAGTGTGAAGACGGCGACACGGGGGCAGGAGTTAGCAAGAGTTACTTCAGGGATCCAAGTGTCGTGCCAAAAGGAGGACCATGCTCCATTATCGGGGTCGATGTTAGCAAGTTTCCAGAATTCATCATGTTCCTTTGTAATATTGGCCCAAACTGAACCTTGAAATCCATTAATGTTTTTGCCAGTATGCCAGGAAGATAAAATGTTTGGATACTTGTTCTCAATGAGAGATCTTCACCAACTGCCCCTTTCATTTGTGTATCTCCACAGCCACTTACCTAGCATTGCTTTGTTGAAACTGGATAGATCGATGACTCCTAAGCCACCACGTTCCTTAGAAGCTTTGCATAGCTCCCACTTAACCAGCGGAATTTTATGGTTATCTCCCGGCTCACTCCAAATGAATCTACGCTGAGTTTTTTTCCAAGCTCTTAATCACTGTTGTTGGCGCCCGAAGCAAGGAGAAGTAGTAAACAGGCTGATTTGAAAGTACTTCTTTGTTCAAGGTCAGTCTGCCTCCTAGAGACAAATAGTGTCCTTTCCACCCATCAAGGCGCTTTTGATAGTTATTACAGATGGTGTTCCAAGTGGATACTGCATTAGTCTTGGCTCCCAACGAAAACCCGAGATATTTGGAAGGTTCCCGACTCCATTTGCATCCAAAATTCATAGCAAAGTAATCCGGGTTTGGCACATCACCAATCGCGAACATAATTGTCTTTTCCAGGTTGATTTTCAGTCCGATGACAGCTTGGAAGCACACCAGAGTAGCAAAGATATTCAGAACTTGATCATAGTCAGCCCCACAGAAGATCAAAGTATCATCTGCGAAAAGCAGACGGGTAACTTCTCCTCTGCAGTCTAATTCATCCATGTAGAAGCCGTTGATTCTGACCTCCTCTTTTAAGCTTGGCTATCATGAAAGATAAGATATCCATTACCAGTACAAAGAGTCCCTCATCACTGTTCTCTCCAAACTAGTGGGCTGCACTTCTACTACTAAAGTGTGGACTCCCACAGCAATTGCATACAAAGCTACAAATCACCGTGGAATCCGCCATCTTAAAGACAAATTTGATGCTCTCACCTGTAGTTCTGATTCCATTGACGTGTATCTCGATCACGCTAAGGAAATTGTCGACAGCTTGATCGCTCTTGCGCATCCCATCCCTGATGATCACTTGGTTCCTCGTTGCTTCAAAGGCCTTGATGGATCCTGCCTTCCTTTCGTGCATATGGTCAAGCTCTCCTTGAACCTCACTCTTTCAACGATTTTCACAACCTCCTCCTCAATAAAGAAAATCGGTTACGTCACCACCATCTTCTCACTGACGGACACTTATTCTCCATCAATTAGAACCATCAGGGTTTCGCGGCAATTGAGACCATTCATCTGCTTGTGGCAGCGGCCTAGGTCGGGATAAAATGATCCTATCCCTCCTCTCTACCCACTAGCGGCCCCTCAGTACTCAATCGCAGGCCATCCATCATTTTTGGTGGGTTACACTTCAAGTTTACTTGGATCTCGACCCAATACTAAAATGCAATCTTCTTTTGGAGGATCCGGGCGAATGAAGTGTTTTAATTCACAAGGCTTTAGACATCTAGCCCGTTAGTGCCCAACTCCCGTCTACCCACCTCATCCACAACTGTTGCGCATTTCACTGCCTCCCCACTGTGAGAAACACATTTATTTGGAGTTTCTATTATTATATTAGATAGGATAATTATTATTATGGTTAATAGAGATTTAGTCGAATTAGGTTATTCATTAGGGTTTTCAAGTATTTCCTATATATATGTACTTTGGGTTTATGTCATAATCAATCAAGAAGAATATTAAGCAAAGTCTCCTAAACCCTAATCTCTCTCAACTCCTAATTTCTCGTCTCATCCTAGTCCAAGGCCTCGGCCGATTCCCAATTCTATTCTTTCTCATCTAAATCTCTAATTCTTTCTCTCAACCCCTAAATCCCTAATTATCACGAGTGCCGAAGATAGTATCGAGAATCCCTAGAAGCGGGGTTCTCACAATTGGTATTAGAGCCCGGTTGTGGCACTCGTACTATGGTTTCGACCAACCTCGAGCTCTCAATTCGAGAACTCACCGAGGTCTTCAAGTTGAAGTTGGAAGAGACGAGAACGAATAAGGTTACCGCGTCATTGCCGCTGTCCATGAAAATCGCACAGGCTGCTCCACCCAAAGCAGCCGCCGCCATGCCAAAGAAGCCGATGAAGGAGGAGGCACCACCATTGTCGGAGGTCGCAACTGCAGAATTGGATTTCAAAGATTGGTTGGAACAACCTGCGTTCCCAATTGAATTCAAGCAAGGTGGAACCACCACTGTTGTGATGGCCGAGAAAGAAGTAGCAGCAACGGCTGTCTTCATTGATAAAGGGAATCACACCATTCACAACCAAGGACTCGTTGTACCGGGGTGCTCTTTCACTTCATTTCACCGTTGGAACCCCTTTTTGCACTTTCATTTACATTTATTTTTCTCTTTTTTTTCTTCATTCACTTGGCGGGGGTTCCAACTGCAGTCTTTTGCACGGTCGACCCTTATTAGTCGAGCAAGAGCAATTTTTGTACACCTGGCGCTCGCCAGGGTACTTCTTTTAACTCCTTTTCCTCAACTCGTGTGGAGGGTCAATGAAATTAAGGGGGCTCGGAAGCTCTATCCGTGCCCTTAAAAACACATCCTCGAGTAGGCAAACCGTTCAACGGGTGGAAGTTTTACTTGTACTGGAGACAGCTTAGCTTCACCTTGTAGGAGTACCCAACTAAGGATCACTAAAATCTCCTCCAAAACCCAATTTTGTGCAATGAACGGTGCCACACACGTTTGGCTTACCCCATGTTTAAGATTTTTGATGATTTCGACATGGAGGACCAACTGCTTTTCATTTGCCACATGAGCACCCTGTTCAATACACGAGTCCATAACACAATTCAAATAGAGTCCACATTACCACATGAATTCAACGGTCTTAGCTCCACTAATTCACAAAATCAACTGACACAGCAGAGAGCTAGATAGGAAAAATCTTATACTTCAACATCCTCCATAGTGCTACACTACCTCCCTAGGATGCACATTACTATAGAGACTGTCAATTCAAAGCATATTGAGCAGGCAATTTGCAAGGAAACACGTACTTGGAGCCCTCAAATTTAAAATAAAATCTGTACAGTGGACTAGGCTCCAAGCACACAAACAACCAAACATTCACCCGCATACATAATCGAACATCCCCCCACACTTAAGCACGACATTGTCCTCAATGGAGGAAAGATAAAGAGGGTAGAACG